GTCTCACAAAATATGCGGAAATATGCGCAAGCATATTTGGTCGAGGCCTAGACCGATTTGATGTCGGGAAGTTCATTTCCTAACAACCTTGCAGAACATTAGGTACCAATAGGATAGGATTTGATGAGATAAAATATTACACAACATTAGAAAGGATTGACCATTGGTGAGCAGATAAAAACAGTGACCTACTTTAAATTCTTCGACGCTTTCGAGAGAGCACAGAAATTGGCGTGACAAGGTTCACAGCGCTTCATGGGCGTTAGCTTGTTCAAGAGAATGACACCAGTGAACTGGATTCTACCTCTACCAGAAGGACCGGGCCAGAAAGGTACCAGCTATAGGTTCTGGTCTGCTCCACGGGTGCGATCACTCTGTGTTATGACGTAATAGTTCCTAAACAGGACACTTGAACGGCCATGGACGCAGCGACGAACGAGATTTTGAGCCGTCAGCCGGCAGGCCTTTCAAGTGTCCCGGTGTGCGTAGATTCTTCTGAGTGGCTCGAGAACATTCACAACGCGTTAACGGCACAAAAGGTGACGAGAAAGATGTAATGGTGGACGAAGTACCAAAAGGAGCTGCTCCCATCCAGACGATTGGGCAATACTCCATAACCGACCGGACTTTGTAGGCTGAAAGTCGGGCAGGAATAGTCAGGAGCTGCGTCAGGCTCCACGTCTCTGCGTTGCTCGGACCGCAACCGCCCTGAGATGCTGGCTGAATTTTAGCTGTTCGTCGAACGTGACGCCCAGTACTTTGATTGAGGGCTGCTCCTCACCAGGAGTTCCATTGAAGACAATGGGGATATTGGCCATTCTCGACGATGGTGGGAGATTGTAAGGGCCTGGGATTTGGCTGGCTCGAATTGCGCTTTCCAATCCGAGCCTCAACTGGATACGAGGTCAACAGCAGCCTGGAGTACTCTAGCTTTGTCAGGAACAGCAGTTGCGATGTCGGCATATAATTATTGTTGTATCATCGGCGAATGAGGCGAGGTTGGAGCCGATTGGAAGGTAGTCTTCGAGGTCGTTGACATAGCCCAAGCATAAGGTGGGGCACGGGATACTGTCCCGTGGCACCCCAGCCTTAACTGGGCGTCTGGCTGATGTCTGGGCGGAGATGAGGACTTGGAGTGTGCGGTTGCAGAGGTACTCTTAGAGCCACCGATGCAGGCCTCTCGAGATGCCATACGCTCCAGCCTTGTGCCAAAACAGCATTGTGTGACACCCGGTCAAATTCTCCAGCAATGTCGATGGCCAGCACTCGAGAAGCCCCTTTATTTCCTGCGCTGTGCACCCACTGGTGGGGGAGAGGCTCTAGGCCCTGGTGGATAATGCTCGGAAAAGTAGCGTTTTCTGCTCGACATGCTCGTATTCTGCCGGCATTCTGCCCCATTCTGCTCGTATTCTGCCGTATTTTGTGAACACAATGGAGCCGTAAATAGGCGCCAGCAGCCCTCTCCGCACTTCGTAGCTGGTTCTGCAGAGTATCTGCTCCTTCTTCCGCACTTTTCTGCCGAATTCTGCTCATTCTGCTCCTTTTCTAAAATAACCCATATTCTGCTCGAACTTCTGCCGGCATTATCCGCCAGGGCCTAGGGAGAGCGGTCAGCAGGTCTGCTGCACCTTGGCCGCGACGGAAGCCAAATTGGCGTTCTGACAGGAAGTGATTTGTCTCCATGAAGTAACGTTGCTGATTGCCCTGTTGACTATAGTCTCCATGACCTTGGATAGGATGCTCAGTAGCGATACTGGTCGATAGTTGGATGGCGACGATTTTGACTTACGCTTGTGGACTGGAATAAGGTTTGCAACCTTCCACTGTTGTGGCTGGATGCCGGAGCGAAGACAGCATGGTTTGAGAGCGGCTGTGCCAATTCTGCAGAGCAAGCTTTCAGGACGCGGGCAGGTATCCCATCTGGACCAGTGGCCTTGGTGGGGTTGAGCTGGCGGAGGGTTTGCTCAACTGTTGTCTCGCGAAACCGGACGGTGCTGAGGTTGCTGTCAGGGCATGGTCGGACGTGAGGAAATGAGGCGGATAGGTCGTCAGCCCTTAAACTGCATTTAGTTAGCGACATGTTCGGCCATGCACTCTGAATTATTGCGATTGGTGTCGAGCTCCGTACCATCAGTGCTGCGGAGAGAAGGTATGGATGGGCTGATTGGCTTGCCCGGGGTGTTTGGGAGGATAACGGGGTGGCGTTTTTTGATAACCGCATCATTGATGCCAACGCACCCAGTTACTCCCATTCATCCTGTGAAGGTACTTCCAGCCGCGCTGCCAACGCGAAGAAAAAGAACCCACCCTTAGCTCACGACTCCTTGTTAAACAAGCCCTACTAGCATGGGACATCCACCACCAAACCTCCCCACCACACCTGCAACAACCACATCTTCCACCACGTCAACACCAACCATACACCCTTCGACAGACAAGGACCTACTCCATCGGACACGCACACACGAACAGGCACCGAGATTCCCCCATCAACAGTGCCCTCACCCTCTACAACTCACTCCCTATCGACATCACAACCCAACCTCGTAGAAATTCTTTCCGAAACAATGCATCCAGTCTTCTTTTGAGCAGTACCTGTTACTGCTCCGCGCATCCCCCTGGTTTCTGATATCTCGAACGTGTACTTAACTATCTCGATCAACGCTGCTAACGTTATTGCCCCCGCTTGTTTTTCATGATCCATTGCTTCTTGCCTCCCGGTTAATTTCCATCTAGCTGTTTCTGGCTAGTACCAGTTCTATCGCACTTATTAATCATCCTTATTGGCGTCACGCCATCGTGGAATAAAAGAATAAAAGAATAAAAAAAGTACCGTCAGGCCTCCGAGGACCTCCGCCGGTCTTTCACACCACTGGTGTGTTCCACGGATGCGGTTAGCCCTTCCCAAAGGTGCTCGCCCTTTTTGGCCCTTTTTGGCCCTTTTTGGAAAAGCCCGTTTCTTTCGCCCTTTATTGCGTTTTTGGTGAATATCGCCCTTTTTGAGCTTTTTAGCTGAAAAAGTGCTAAAATCTGTTTGCTCATGCATGCGATCACAGTGTCCGAGTGCTCCATGGGCCTTTGCACGCTGCTTTTTTGGGGGCAACAAGTAATTAGTTGGTGAAGCTTGTACACAATGCCGTAAAAAGTGTTTTTTTTTTTTACTTTACTTCTATTATTCATTCCTGTTTTGCCTTTCGTGGACCCATAAATGGAAGAGTTCGTATTCATTTCTCAGCTTGGGTTCATATCTGAACATGTTGCATGGCTATGCTTCACTGAAAAAAGAGCACTTTTTGCCTGTTTCCACTGAAGAAAGAGCACTTTTCAGCATACATGTACATGTATTTTGAGGGACGCGAAAAGCACTAAGTGCGAATTAAAAGAGCACCTTTGGGAAAGGGCTAGATGCGGTGCTGCATCGTGAATATGCCAGCTATCAGAAGCGACTTGCTGGTCGCCTCGCCCACCAGTGGGACAAGCCCTTTTCAATCATAATGGCTTGGGTGCGAATTCGTACCCAATTTGCAGTGTTCCATGCAGAAGGCGCCTGACTGGCCTGTCGACGCAGGATGGTGCTGGGTAGGCATCGGCCATTGAGAACTGAATTTCGTCTGTTTTACGTGGAATTTCTTGGAGTTTTCCAATGTACTGTACAGCAATATCATGTTATCTCTATTATTTTCACATCTACATCTACATGACTTTATCTTGCCCGCAAAAGAGGCCGCTACCCCGAAAAAATGTCAAAAATAGAAACAAAATTCAAACTACAAAAATAATGGTCATTCCCTGTCATGCATCTTCTTTCCGTCCTTCTAACCCTTTCTCGCATTCCCGTCCATGTAATTTTCCCGGAATGTACATGTATACCAGTAGCATATTTTGTACTTGCCGATGTATATGATTGCTATTGGGCGCACAATCCAACAATACAAACCAACACCACTGGCTGTAAACATTATTCAACAGGCATCCTTGCCTCTGTGATTGCACATGGGCCGATGATAATCCAGTGTTGTTTCCATAATTCTCAGGACAAATAATTGACTGACGCAGATTGACAAAGCTACGGGACTCGCACACCACAATCATGGACAAAAGACTTCCGTCAACAGTTGAACACTGTGTACTGGTGCACGGTAGTTGGAGTACAGCTAGGAACACAGCAGCTGGAAATGTCCGCGTGGCGCAATAACTCGTATACAGTCAGTTACCATGATGGCTACTACTACTACTAGCACTAGTACATCTCATACATCATGGTGCGCAGGTTGGACCAAGAGTCCGAAAATGAAACCGGACCAACAAAGGAAAACCACGAAACAGTGACGTATTTACACATTTTCGCATTTTATAAGCGGAAAGGTTTATGAAAATAGGCATCGGTACCGTCGATCGCAGCCATTCAAACAAGTACCCGGGATCGATCAAAACAGTGGGCGGGTACGCCACGAAATCATCCAAGACTCCATGCAACACCAGTATAAGGCCATGCAATGTATGTCATGACCAAGTCCCTCTCCCAGTGTGGTTCTGTCCAGCTGCGGTCTCTGTAAATGACACCATGCTGGAAGATTTGCTCCATCCGCCGCTCCCTCTACTCACTTGTGCTGGTCCTACACTACTACAGGATGTCACAGGCCGCATGCATGGCACCAGCGGCTCCCCTCCCTGGCCCTCCTCTCCCAGCACTGCCGCAGCTGACATGTAGCTGGTCTACCGCAGACAGCCTTCCTGCGAGCTGCAGGCATGACACTTGACAGTATTGATATTCCTCGGAGTCGGACCGGTTTCTTGAAGACACGTGGCTGGTAACAATGCCAAGGTCTGGGAGCATCTCAAGCAGAACATCTGATCGACTACATACACTGTACGTACAACTATTATACTTGCCGTACCGCCCAACCCCGGGTGTTCTGTGCTGTAGCGACTGCCAAGTCCCAGTGCTGCAGTGGTGACTGTATGTTGATCATGTAGATCTACCCAATGATCGAGTTGAACGCCAAATCTTTGCTTTTGGATACTAGTATAGAGTCAGACTGAAGAATCCTCTACTGCTCCAGCTCAGTGGTTATCACTAACATCAACTGGGGATCAATCGCGAAGTCACCTTACGATCACTGCACTGACGAGAGTTAGATTTCTGCAGCTCCGTGGACCTGAAACCAGTCGCCAGGCTGTGTTTGGCGCTGCGAGTAGAGAGGGTGCGCCCGGACACATACAGTGGGCGAAGCTGCCCTCAAAAATTGTCAGTGGCCGTGGTCTCTAGGTTCAGCCCTAGCCTAGGCCATCATCGTATCCGCAGCCCTCTCCTTCTCTCTGCCTACCATCTGTGCCAGGGAAGGAAGGAAGGAAGGAAGACAGGACGGTTAGCTCTCCCAAGCAGAGCTTGACCACTCGACGACAGCCAGCGGCAGTGGCGAAGGGCAGGCTACGGGACGGCGGAGTATGGCGACCAGCGGTTCGGATAAATCCAAGTGGCGCAGTCGGCTCTCGCTATCTTTACGGCAGAGGTCGCGCGATGCGGAGGCCTTCAGTGAGATGGAGGAGCATGTTCTGGGTGAACAGCACGATGAGTACGCGGCCACTGCATCCACCAAGTTTCTCTCCGGTAAGTTGGAAGAGAGGGGAATTTGTTTTTGACTTGTTCATGTTTGTTTGGGCGTGTTCGTCACAACACTTCTTTTTTGTCACTGATCCGCGGTTCAACACATCAGACTAGGCAGAAGTGTTAGCTGCATGTAGTTGTTCAGTGCATAGTTGGTAGTCCAGGCCCACGGCCAGGGCAATGGCAGCACTGTGCATGTGAATTGGCCGATCGTAGTGCAGACCTATGCTATGGTCAGTGAATGGGTGCAAGTAGCACTGTCTGTTGTCTTGATGATTTTCTTGGTCGAGGCTGAGCATGGATGGCTGCTTCTTGTTTAGAGTTCGAACTACATCTACACTAGCACCATACTGTTGTTATCATGCACATCTACACTAGCACCATACCGTTGTTATCATGCACATCTACACTAGCACCATACCGTTGTTATCATGTACATCTACACTAGCACCATACCGTTGTTATCATGTACATCTACACTAGCACCATACCGTTGTTATCATGTACATCTACACTAGCACCATACCGTTGTTATCATGCACATCTACACTAGCACCATACCGTTGTTATCATGCACATCTACACTAGCACCATACCGTTGTTATCATGTACATCTACACTAGCACCATACCGTTGTTATCATGTACATCTACACTAGCACCATACCGTTGTTATCATGTACATCTACACTACCAGCATACCGTTGTTATCATGTACATCTACACTACCACCATACCGTTGTTATCATGTACATCTACACTAGCACCATACCGTTGTTATCATGCACATGTACACTACCAGCATACCGTTGTTATCATGCACATGTACACTACCACCATACCGTTGTTATCATGCACATCTACACTACCACCATACCGTTGTTATCATGTACATCTACACTAGCACCATACCGTTGTTATCATGTACATCTACACTAGCACCATACCGTTGTTATCATGCACATCTACACTAGCACCATACCGTTGTTATCATGCACATCTACACTAGCACCATACCGTTGTTATCATGCACATCTACACTAGCACCATACCGTTGTTATCATGCACATCTACACTAGCACCATACCGTTGTTATCATGCACATCTACACTAGCACCATACCGTTGTTATCATGCACATCTACACTAGCACCATACCGTTGTTATCATGTACATCTACACTAGCACCATACCGTTGTTATCATGTACATCTACACTACCACCATACCGTTGTTATCATGCACATCTACACTACCACCATACCGTTGTTATCATGTACATCTACACTAGCACCATACCGTTGTTATCATGCACATGTACACTACCACCATACCGTTGTTATCATGCACATCTACACTACCACCATACCGTTGTTATCATGCACATCTACACTAGCACCATACCGTTGTTATCATGTACATCTACACTAGCACCATACCGTTGTTATCATGTACATCTACACTAGCACCATACCGTTGTTATCATGCACATCTACACTAGCACCATACCGTTGTTATCATGCACATCTACACTAGCACCATACCGTTGTTATCATGTACATCTACACTAGCACCATACCGTTGTTATCATGCACATGTACACTACCACCATACTGTTGTTATCATGCACATCTACACTACCACCATACCGTTGTTATCATGCACATCTACACTAGCACCATACCGTTGTTATCATGTACATCTACACTAGCACCATACCGTTGTTATCATGTACATCTACACTAGCACCATACCGTTGTTATCATGCACATCTACACTAGCACCATACCGTTGTTATCATGCACATCTACACTAGCACCATACCGTTGTTATCATGCACATCTACACTAGCACCATACCGTTGTTATCATGCACATCTACACTAGCACCATACCGTTGTTATCATGCACATCTACACTAGCACCATACCGTTGTTATCATGCACATCTACACTACCACCATACCGTTGTTATCATGTACATCTACACTACCACCATACCGTTGTTATCATGCACATGTACACTAGCACCATACCGTTGTTATCATGCACATCTACACTAGCACCATACCGTTGTTATCATGTACATCTACACTAGCACCATACCGTTGTTATCATGCACATCTACACTAGCACCATACCGTTGTTATCATGCACATGTACCAGTAACATGTACATAATGTCATTGTAGATCTACGTGTACCGGAATGTGTATAGTACAGTATGCCCCCATACCTACATGTATCTGTACTGCCCATTGTATGATGGGCATTGATCTCACGACTGGCATGTTGCAAAAGCACCTCCATACATTCCAGTATTGCGTGAACACCGGTTACCATGGTTACTTTGCTAGATTCTTCATACGGCTATGAAGAGCGGGAAGAGAGCGGATACAACACAGGCGCCAGCATGGACGGTGACTTAGCCATGCAGGCAACATCAGCGTCGGGATTCACGCTTCCCAATGTCTTCCGGCGGCCTAAGGTAAGCACAGACACGATCCTGACTGCTTAGCACTATTGACTTACTACTCCCCAGTACTTATCCAGCAGGCTTGCTGGTGTGAGTGCTGGATGAGCTACAGTGCTGCTCAATGAAATCCAATCCAGCGAGTGAATGCCACACCGGGTGCTGTGCAGCCCTCGGCCTGCCACACTGGGTGCTGTGCAGCCCTCGGCCTGCCACACTGGGATGTCACTGGTCACGGAAGGGCGCAAAGTTGATTCATGTCATCGGATTTCGTTGAGCATCTCTGTACAAAACTGTTAGCGACCGTTATGGAGCTAAAGCATTGTAAAAACAAATGCATCTCATTCCACAGAGCTTGCCCAATACCAAACGTGGCGGCACCTACAGCTGCAAGTGTCCGGGTGGCTACATACATGTATGTACTTCACCACTGACGCTCCTCCAACATGTCAACACGAATCTGGCATATTTGTACGGCGACGATAATACATGTCCACGATATACAGTGGAACTCACTTAGTACATACTGTGATAAAATATTACTCTTGCACAGCATGGACATTGTCCGCAGCACACGTATGTCTCTTGATCATTATTGAAGTATGTTGGGAGTACGGCGGATACTACGTACACTTTCCTACTGCCCATAGGGTACATCTGAATAGAGTTCAACTGTAGTTGTAGAGAATTGTCGTACGACATACACCACAACAAACACAACAATTATTGCTAGAGCTGTTAGCCAGTTAGTTGTAGAACGTCAGTACCGTCGGTCAGTGTCGTGCAATGTTATCCCATGAGCTGATTGTTTAGTAGCTGGTGGTGTTAGTGGACACTATAGCATAACTCTTAGTTTCGTGGGCCTTTTTTCTTTACAACAATTATTGTTCTTCTTCCATTTCTAGGCACCTGGTGACAGCTACAAGGCAAAGGATAAGAAGCGTCTGTCCCTGCCTCCGAATCTGCAGCCAGGTGTTAGTGGCGGCGGCGATGGTAGATATCCACTTGATGAGCAGGAGTTTGCTCGGATGATGGACCGCGGTGGTCAGTCGCTACCCGGCAGTGGTGCATCAACGCCGCAGAGACGATCCTACAGTATGTCCGTACCCTCCTCGCCAACCAATAGCATGTCACCAGCCATGGACTTGAATCGACCGATGAGCCGACTGGTTCGACGCAGATCGCTGGTATGGTTGGGACATTACAAATGTATAGAGCAAATGACTGAATCTAATGTCATCAATGGGTTTTAAGCATGAAACACATTCACAGCATTAATTCTGGCAGCTGGGCCATGCACTGCAATGAAGTTTTGCCACCAGTATATGAAATATGGTGCCTTTCTTGGAGCTCAAAAGCAGATAAAAAATATCCCGTCCATCTCCGGAGCCATGGCACAGACTGGCTTAGATTAACCTAGCTTCTACTGAATTCTTCTCTGGTGTATCGGGAACCTTGCAATCGACCAGCCTGCGCCAAGCCCCATTTTTGTTTTGCTATGTGTTCTTGAGCTATCATGCATCTTGAAGCGCTTCTGAAGGATTTTCTTTGTGTCTTTTCTGTTTCCCATCACAGAGCGACATGGGATTTGGGAAGAAGGAGACATACGAGAAGTTGGACAAGCTTGGAGAGGTATATGATGAACATCCCTAATTGTGCCACACAGAGTTGACGCAAACCTTGTGATAGACTATTAATCGAATACATTTACGGGTACTATAAAGTACCTCGAGAGCACCCAGCATTGATTCACAGCCGGGGAAAGGAATTCCATATGACCGGTCAAGGCCGTAGCACCAATATTTCAGGTAATCCGGTCAAATCATGGGGATCGTCCGTGGAAATGTACGTTATTTCAACCAGGAACTTCCTGTTTTTCAGACCAAGATCTGCATGTACCGGCTTGCGAGAATTGGATGGGTCAACCGTTTCAAAAAATGGACCAGGCGGACTGGGTGCTGCGGTCCTGCCGGTACAGCTGAGACCATAGTGTATTAGAACTTGTACAGTCAACTAAAGAGTATACTGAGCTGTAGGTCATGCACATGCATGGTCCCATGTACCAACACAGTATCGTTGTGCAGAGCTCACTTGATACCAGTCAGACGTGAAATGAGTATGAGGAGTGGCAGCACCATATTTGTACTGTGTGTACTAGTATGCCGCATGCACACGCTCACCCGCCCCACCTCCAAAGTACAGCCATAAAGAGACGCAGGTAGCAGGGCACGCCTATTGTACTTTATCAAGTTTATGGTATATCTTTAAAAAATTGAGTACATGGCAACACTGGGCAACATTCAGTCACACCACAATATCACACAGAATGTGTGACTGTGTGTTGACTAGTCTTTTGCCATTTCCCCAATTTCCGTACAATGGAGCTCTGTGTTAAACGGGGTTCCAAATTTTCATTTAAAAACCGTCGGTATAAAATGTCATTTCTGTGCAATCCACTCACCCACTATTGCATGGAATTCTGATGCTTCTGTCCTGCCTCTGGGCACCTTTGCTGCCTTTTGTTCCGCATTGTTCTTGGTTGTAGGGCACCTATGCGTCAGTGTTCCTTGGAAAGAGCAGGTGAGGAAGAGTAATCAGGATGGATAGACACAGTTGGCTTGTACTCTTCGGGTTGTATGTTCATGGGTCTAACCAGACAGCAACTTTATCCAGCAAGGCAGCAATGGGTCCTTGCTGCCATAGGCAATTAGTGATAACAGTTTTCTTGGAATCCCGCTATGTTTTTCCATGTTGGGGTCCCGATAATGGCTCCTCTCACTTTTACTGGAGCAGTATTATTAACTCTTTTGCCATCGGCAATTTTTGAACATCAGATTTTCCAACCGCTGTGCTTTGTTTTCCTGTTGGTTCAAACCCCTGCCAGTCTCCTACTGAGAAGTAATACAGCCCTTTTCCCACATTTTGTCCCTTAGCAGCAGTGCGACAAACCGACCAGCAAAGCATTATGTCTTTCATTGACGTGCTGTCTTGTCCATCGGGTTCGACTTTCCAAAATACCCCGCATCTTTAAAAACAATTTGACTGGTTCCGACGGGATAGCCCGCTAGGAGCCAATTCTCCCTTCCTCTAGGCTACTCTTCTACATTGCGACACTCCCCCCCCTTTTCCATAGCTATTCGCAGTGGCTTTTGCTGCACCAAGAGACAAACGGCATTTCTACTTTAGCAGCATTCAGGAATGCCTTGCTTTAGACCACAGTTTTAGGCCATACTTGCTTCTTTCTTCTTTTCCTTTTCTTTTGACTTCTTCCTCTTTTCCTTGTTAGCCGTGGTTGGCGATAAAAACCCTGCAATATCCACGAAAAGTGGTCATTGGCTACCCCAACCATGTATTGCTTGGAATAACATAAAATAAATAAATTGTGTGTGTATATGTGGGCATTGGTATTTTTGTCTACAGCTTGACTGGTCTACCAGTGGCCCTGAAAGAAATCCGACTGGAGCACGAAGAAGGAGCACCGTGCACGGCCATCAGAGAAAGTAAGCGATCACTTTGAGACCTGTGCTGGGTATCTACCTGCCTAAAACATTGTATTCAGATACTGTAAAATGGAGAAATTTTCACTAGATTCTAAAAAAAATCGTTATTTTCGCGACCACTACACATTTGTGAAATTGAGTCGTTGCCAACTGCTCCGTGTATTGTTGTGAACAATACACAGAATCCAACTGAAGAGATAACACTATGACCGTGGAAGTTTCTCATCGTGAACCAATGCTATTCTTGAACGGATGCCAAGGCAGCATGCAGAAAAGGTTTCTTGGTTTACAGTAAGCTATGTGGCTGATTGATCAGTTTCTTTACCACTGTGTTCTGTGCAACTCTGTGTTGTAGTTTCCCTATTGAAGAACTTGAAGCATTCAAACATCGTCACTCTCCATGACATTGTCTACTCACCTGGCATGCTGATGATCGTCTTTGAGTATGTGGTAAGTCCACGTGGTGGACGCACTCCACGGTTACTGGACATCATAAGATTAGTCTGTTGATGGTGTAGTCCTTGCGTTTGTTTGTTAATACTATGGTGAAGGCACTTGCTTGCACTCAACATGACCTTATGGTGCATGCAGAACCCAGCCTGCAAACATCCCAAACATTCCAGGGCATTAGTTTACTCCTGAAAAAGCATTCTTAGTTCCAGAACTAAAAGCAGCTCACCAGAGGATAATCAGTTGCGGACTGATAGAATTGAACTGGATAGTGCTGTATAAGACACAGCATACTGGTACAATTTGTGTAAGTCACACATGTAAAGTCCACACGAACAGAATAGTGCAGAATTTAGGTGTCATCAACAGATATAACACTATCACGAATACAGACCAAGGTGAGAAAAGGACGCACAGAAATCAGTAGCGCTAATAATCACACAAAAAACAGCACCTGTGTGGTGGTGGTAATGGTGGTGGTCCAAGGTGGTGGTTGTGGTGGTAGTGGTGCACATTTCACACAAAAATGCATGTGAAGTAAAGCTATGTGACAGTCCGAAAACCATACTGGATTTTTCGGGCGTGGCGTTAAAACATCACATCTGAGTTGCCGTCTGCGAAAGTCATGAAGTTGATTGGGACGGCACCTACAGCACAGAAACTGTGTGCCTTTAGAACTTCATAAGGCTGAGATGAACGTAGGCAGGAGAGCCAGATTCCGATGGTTGCACCAGGCTAGCTACAGTGCTGAACTGGAACTGAACTGCCAAGAGACTGACCACCGTTTTAGGAGTGCAATCGGTCAGGGGCAGGTGGAACGTTGCACGTTGCAGTCATAGATCAATCCGCCCAGCATGCAATGTACCATAGTGCAAGAATACTTGTGCCCCAGCACTGAAAAGACAGCAACAAATATGTCACTTTTAGAGCTGGCAATCATCACTATGATGAAGGGTCCAGGCTGCAAGGCTATTGTGCACTCAACATGTGCAATCAAAGGTTCCGCTGTTGAATGCCTCATTAATCACTCCATAACCTGTGCTTTACTGTGGTGTGATTCAATGGCCCAATGTCAACTTTGGCGATGTTGGTGTGGTGCTAAAAGCATACAGTTCACCAGCACCATAAGAGTCGATGTTTACCCTTGTTTAACTTGTTCTTCTGGAAATGACTTGCCACAGTTACTTCAAGCTCAAGCTAGGATAGATTTGCTGCTCACTCGGGAAACTTCATCCTATTTGTACTTGAACAGGGTCATTTTTTTGTTTCATTCTGTGCCTATGTGCTTTTGTGTCTTTGTGTGTGTGTGTGTGTGTGTGTGTGTGTGTGTGTGTGTGTGTGTGTGTGTGTGTGTGTGTGTGTGTGTGTATGTGTGTGTGCATGTATTTGTGTATGTGCGTGAATGTGTGTATGTGCGTGAATGTGTGTGGTATATGAACGTGTGTTTGTGTGGCCTGGATGAGTAGAAGCGAGATCTCAAGCAGTACATGGACATGTGTAATGGACTGCTGCACATGGACAACATCAAGGTCAGCTACATGCACATGACATACAAACTTTGTTGATGTTAGAGATTTAGAGCTGTGTGTGGGGACTTCCGTCGCTGAAGTTAAGCAACCGGAAGTATGTTACTAGGCCACAGACATGTAGGTTTCATGTTGAAATACGGCCAACATCACACGGTATCCATAACGGGGCTGTAGCACCGAGATTTCAGGTGGTCCAGGAACTGGATATTTGACCGGAAAATGCAATACATGTCTTGATGAAAATCCATTTTGCACAAATTGGGTGGGTGAATTTGGCACATTTCCGGGGATATTTCATAGTGCATGTATCGTAGATGATGTACTAGTATTCACTAGTTGTCAGTTGTCACTGCTTTTATGATAATGGATGGTTTTTCCACCCAGCACTGACTGTCACATGCACATGGTGTTGTTGTGGTACCCATGTGCAGATCTTCCTGTTTCAGATTATACGAGGTCTGGCCTACTGCCACAGTCGGGCTGTGCTGCATCGGTAAGACAGGGTGCAGAGCACTGCCGCTGCCTCTTCGGTATCATTCAGTCTGCTTGCACATATACACATGTAGAAAGTAATATATTGATAGAAGAGGTGTACAGTCAATCTCATAAATAACGACTTCGAATATAGCCGCGTGAATAACCCGCGAATAGCGATACAATCTTCAACCACATGAACAACGACACTTTTCTCATGCATGATCGAGGGTCGTTTTTCTCAAGGTCGACTGTTTGTCTTGTCTTGTTGCTTGCCCCATCTAGCTTACAGTGTCCTTCGCACATTCGTGTGAGTAACTCTGAGTGTGGCTTACACATTCCACCATCATACCAGTACACAATGCAGATCTACCACAGCAAAGTGTTCTTCAGATACTCCAATACATTTTGCCCGTACTTGAGTTTGTACACTGAGATTGACTACACTCACCATGCTGTCTGCTGTGTGTATTTGTGCAGGGATTTGAAACCACAGAATCTGCTCATCAGCGAAGTCGGGGAGCTGAAGCTGGCTGACTTTGGTAAGTGCAACTGCAGATGGCATTACCTACTAACGGTGTTAACTCAATCCCATATGCACTCACTGGATCCTGAGAATGTTTCTAGTAGTAATATTATTACACATATGTAGAATATTGTTGCACCATTCCAGGCCATATGACACAGAACTGACAGTCTTGATTTCTGTCAGCCATTCAGGAATTGGAATAGAATAGCTATAAGACACCCTCCCGGGTACCGCTCTACAGCAGTATTTGCCACAAATCCCTGATTACACTGACATCACTGGCAGCACAGACAACATTGGCAACACTAGCAACAGCCCATGACCTGCTCACTCTGGTTTTTACACACTCCCAGTCCGAAACTGCTGCCAAGCGTATTCACTATCCTACAAGTGCATATGAACAAAGGCATGTTCTGAGTTTGGGATTTTCCGAGTAGCAAGCACTGCCTCAGCTAGATTAACCTGATACCAGAGATGTGATTGTGTATACCAAACTGACACACATTTCGTAAAAGGAAGTCGGCAGCGATTCTCGTTTTGACCTCACCCTATCCAACTGATGTTCAGCTGGAGACATGGTGGAGAATTCTTTGATATTTGATACTCGGCACTAACACCGATCATGGTTTCCTGTCCTTCCTTTTTCAATCAGGCCTAGCCCGTGCCAAAACAGTCCCGTCCAAAACCTACTCCAACGAAGTTGTCACCCTCTGGTAAGGGACGAGCAGTACAGGAGGGAAGCTAGTTGATTGCAGCTTCCTTCTCTGCTGCATGCCTGCATGAGTAAAAAGGCTACCGCAGACTCTCCAATCTGTCCTTGTTTGCTAACTGTTTGAAATCAACCCGCAAGATGTAAAAAGATATGCGAGTTTGTCAACAGGAACAGTTCAGTCTCAATTCCTGGTGGTTGCACTTTGGTAGCAATTGCCGCACTTGTGCCTTCTGTGGATATTATTGCTGTATACCCTACCGTGTTCTCACCATCTGTGTGTATGCGCGTATGTGTGCGCGTATGTGTGCACGTGTGTGCTTGTGGGTGCGTGTGTGTGTGTGTGTGCGTGTACCATATTTTACATTCTCAGGTATCGTCCACCCGATGTTCTCCTGGGCAATACCAAGTACACTGGCAGTATTGATATGTGGTGAGTTGTTTACTCCATGCACCAACTGTGCACAGTAGGGTATGCCATCTTCATGATTCATGATTCATGGAAAGAGCTAAGACGCAAAACGAACCATATTGATTTCGTCACTTTTCTTATAATTGCCATTAAAGGATTCTTTGTAGGTGTGATTCGTATCTACAGTCCATTTCAAAACTATAGACGCGTAGGGTTTTTGAAGTATTTCAAATTTGGCTGGAGCTTTTTGAGAATAGTTTTCGGAATATTGCTCAGGTCCGCTCCACAATTACTCTCATATAGCTTCTAAACGATTGGATAACAGACGCCCAATTTGGAAAAATTTATGCACAAAGTGATCACAGATTTTATGTGGTGTAGATGCTGGCATAACGGTTTTTGCCTAGGTACGCGTCTATAGTTTTGAAATGGACTGTAATTCCGTAGCCGAGTACCAGTTTTGAAGTGGTTGAGGGTCGGATTTTGAATGTGAAATGTTTCGCCTGAAGGTGCCCGTACACCTGTTAATTACATTGACCAGCTGATCATGATTAATTTTCTCAAATGTGGTGTGTGTCATGGCATATAAACTCTTCCACGATACATGTGCATGTAGACAGTGAACTAGTCTCTACAGCACCACTGTCACCTGCACAGAGGTAGTCCATTTGGAAGTGAGATCTCCCCCGCGTGGCAAGGTGAACTACCAGTGCACTGTGTCTGCATGCAGTCCAGATGTCTCGATCTCTATCTTTAGCACCCGGTTACTATTGCAATGGCATTTGATAAAATTTGTCAATCCGTGTATCATGTTGTCATTTAATGACACAGTGATACACGGATTGCTCCTTATTTCACCCAACTCTATGGTGTTGTCTGGCCTCTACTGTATCGCAGGGGAGTCGGCTGTATCTTCTTTGAGATGGTGTGTGGCAGGCCAGTGTTCCCCGGGTCAGACGCAGAAAATGAGCTGGCCTTGATATTCAAGGTACAGTGGGCACCAAAGTCACAGTCATAGTCCTTCGCCATGGCACAGTGAATTGTATTCTGTTTGCTCGTGAAAGAGGCTTTTGTCGTAGTCATGACAGTGATAGTGAATCACAAAGATTGATGTTTTGGCCCCTAAACCGTTGGTGTAACTACCTGGCAGGCCGGTGCTGGGTAACCCTGGCAGTATGCTCGCTGTATTAAATTGTTTTTTTTAAAGTGCAGTGTGGACTTTGCGTTGCCTGAAGTCGGATTTCTTGCTTATGTACACCGTGTCTGCATTGTGAGAAGGACCAATTTGCAATACTGTATTTGGACGGCCATGCACAGAACATGTTTGTCTGCAATACATGTACACGTTGGGTGATTGTCATGTCTGTATACACGTTGGGTGATTGTCAGGCAATGGGAACACCGAATGAGAAGACGTGGCCGGGAATCGAGAAGAACGAAAAGTTCGTAGAAGGTAAGACCGCAGGCAGTGATCACACTGGTGATACTCAACTCGGTAAGATGGTGCATGGGTCAGCCTTTTTCCACCATCATCCAGTAGCACATACACTGTATATTGTATATAACTGACAGGTCACATCTCCAGGGTGGACAAAAAAGCCAGCTCTGTACCCCAAAGCTGCAGTCAACCGTTTTGAACAAAAGTCACTTGACTGGCTGCGCTCTACAGCTGTAACAGTGGTAATGTCCAATACTCAGACACACACACACACACACGCACACACACACACATACACGCACATGGACACACACACATGCACGCACACACACACACACACACACACACACACACACACACACACAAGCATCCTATAGTGCATATCCGGTGGCTGCAGACAAAGCATACCGTGGTGGCGGCTGGCATCCAGTGACCACACTGAGCAATTTGAATGCACTGGAGAACCCCATAGACAGAAGTGGACTGGAGAAGCAGCAATGTACTTCAGTAATAACAACCCTCTGCATCACTATCACTGTATAACACTATTACAGTCAGACATCGCTTAACCGCCACAAAAAAACCGGATAGGCGAGGAAACCAGATAATCGAACACACATACTGTATATATACGTGGCATATGCTGTAAATCGTTAACCAACGATTTTCTTCCTTATGGCGAGGGGACCGGATAAGCGAGGTCTGACTGTATTATTCAACAACTCACTAAGAGCAGCTAGGCAAGGAGCAACTATCACCGGCATTTCTCCATCACACACGCACATGCAGCAGCCACTGCGTCCGTATAAGGAAACACGTATCGTGTTGTATCTTTCTGCAGGCAACTTCGCGCTGTATATTCCTCACCCTATTCAAGTGCTGGCACCAAGGTAGGGATGACAATAGTCTCTGGGTTTCTGTTTAATATCTCAAGCTTACATCTCAAGCAAGTTTTCGGACACGAAACTCCGAGTAACGGCAAGGAAGGACCTGGTTGCGCTGTTGCTATTTGTGAATTGTATCTAAAGCTTGTATGTTTCCACGTTCATGTCAAAAGGTGACGTCCACAGAAATCAGTCACTGGTAGAATGCTTCAAGGTGTTACTAACACAATAGGCTGTGGTCATAGAACAAAGCTGAGAAGTTACCGCTTTCCAGCCACCTTATTCCTGAACCTAAAGTCTACTTGATGCTGGGTTTGATGTGTTGCTGTAGGCTTTCCATCAATGGTGCCGACCTACTCAAGAAGTTGCTTGATGTAAGTGATTGATCATAGCTATCATTGAGTGGAATGCTCAGCTGCTCAATAATCTCTCACGTGTGCATGTTGTAGTCTATGACTTGGAACAGGGCGAGGCATTGGTACTTCAAGTAGGAAACGATACACTGCTTGTGTTGCTTCTGTTGTGCATGCCACTGATTTTCCATGTACCTCTCTGTCTCTCTGTCTCTTGACGGCTCTGCACACTCCAGTACTCACCGGACACGAGACTGACCGCTCTCCAGGCAATGAAGCATCCATACTTCTTTGCCCTGGGCGAGGAGGTGCAGCGAATCCCCCACAGTACGTGCCTTTTGTGTCCTTTTCGAATTATTTTCAACCAAAAGAAGAAATTCTGTTACATGATTCTTGGATGACGACTACACCATAGCTTAGTGGTAGAGCATCGGCGAGGGTCTCTGGTTCGAGTCCTGGTGGTGACAGTCAATATTTCTTCAGACTTCTCCCATTTGCACCTTATCCTCAAACAAATGAACATATCGTTCGGTGTTATAATTTGCAATGATGCTGAAGTAAGAAAGGGTTTGCTCCCCAGTAGCAGGTTTTTGTTTTCAACAGGATTATAGTATATTTTTATTGCCTGTGGGGGCGGGGGGTCAATACTATGCGCTGCAAGCGGTGGTGGTGACATACTAAGATCACTATACTAAGGGATAAGTTCATAACAACGAATAGGTACTCTTCAAGCTTACGGTACACTCTGTATTGTGATCCTGCTCTTGGACCAATCCACTCTACAAGACATGTGCTAAAGGTGCCTGCCATTGAGCATACACCCATGCATTTTTTAGGCCAACGCAAAATTTATAATTGTCACTTGGACATTGGCCACCTGCAGTATACATCACTACAATTTTCGTCTTTGCCTGCGACCTGTAATAATCGTAAAAAAAAATAAAAAAAATAAAGCTCTGCTCTAACACCATGTTATATCAAGCTTTCTCCTGTCTTCCTCTCTTGTTCAGTGACAAGCATCTTCTCCATTCAGGGAGTCGAGCTGAGACCGGACCCAGGTTACGTTCCGCCCGATGCGGAAGAAGAAGAAGAAGAAAAAGAAGACTCTGATGTTGATGATCTGGAGGATTATTACAATGGTGAGAAAGCCATTCACCTGCAGCGAGGAATTAAAACACCCCTTCAAAAACCCGTGGAAACTTCAGTTGAAATCAGTGTCTGCTTAAAAAAAGAAGGTTTATTATACAAAAGAAAAAGGACCAAGGAACTACAAGTTACGCTATAATGTCCACTAACACCACCAGTTACTAAACAATCAGCTCATCCGAGTCCAATGTTTATAATATTTATGTATCAAACTTGGAGACTATTAAGCTCCGCCGCACACAGCAATGACAGAAGAATAACACGCTGCAACTCCAAGTTTCCAGTTTTCATAATCCCACACAGGTACAACGGACTTGTATACACTGTACGGCATACAGCACTAGATGAGTAGATACAACACTCCAATGATGGACAGTCTTTGTACAGGACTGGTAGATGTAGAGATTGGTAGGATCTACAAAGTGCTTCTGACAGATGGAGGACAAATTTATAGTACCGGAGCTTAGCAATCCCACATACATTTATCACATGTGTTCGGACTTGAGAAATTCATTCTCCATTACTACCAGGTCCCGCCTCACTTCTTTGTGTTGTGTTGGTGGGTCCACAGTAAAAGGACACAACAGTACTGTCCGCAGCTTGAGCATTATCATACATAATGCCGGCATTTTTCTGCCATGGATCCCTGAACTTGTCAAACCAAAGAACTTACACTTTCTCTACCTTTGTATGTTTTCTGGCTTCTATGCACCGCTGCAACTGCCGGACAGAGATGGATCGTGGTGTCTAAACTGCGTCAAGTGAAGTCAAACCGAAGTGTGACAAGTCCGTCCACGCATAGACACTGTCCTCATGGATATAAAGTGGAATACAACGCTGAACGCTGGAAACTGGACACCTTGACTTTTCCCTGTGTCCCAATTGAAACAACTTGACCATCTACGTGGAAACAAGGTGGTATGATGGCCTGATGAACCTGAAGAATTCATGATGCCGATATTGTATGCATACACAGATGCACCTGCAGCCAGATGATTTTGAATCGTATTTCTTCGGTGCCTTTTTACTTGCGATTTGTGCCGAATTACTGACTCGCTTGAGTTGAGGCTGCCGTCCCCGACTTGAAACTGCCTACCTGCACACGTGTATTTCCACTTGTGTATATCTATTCACCTTGCGGTTTTGCCGCATTGTCGCACACGCTGCTTTGCTGCACAATGACTCTTGAACTTCCAGTCACTATATTTAAACATAACTAAAGTTAAAGTACACCAAGATGTTGTACACAATGATGACTGATGGCAGTCAGGTTGAGACTGGACACCGAAGAGCACGAGTTTCTCTCGTCGCTACTAGCGTTCGTAAAAATTCCCATGTTTCTTCCGGGACTACTGCTTATCCAGGGAAAGCACATCTGCTTATCCAGGGAAAGCACAACTGCTTATCCAGGGAAGGCACATCTGCTTATCACATTTCCCCCATGGGAATGAGGCTGCACGGAGTCTCCCAGTGGAACGCATACACACGGTGTGATGAGGCTGCACGGAGTCTCCCAGTGGAACGCATACACACGGTGTGATGAGGCTGCACGGAGTCTCCCAGTGGAACGCATACACACGGTGTGATGAGGCTGCACGGAGTCTCCCAGTGGAACGTATACACACGGTGTGATGAGGCTGCACGGAGTCTCCCAGTGGAACGCATACACACGGTGTGATGAGGCTGCACGGAGTCTCCCAGTGGAACGTATACACACGGTGTGATGAGGCTGCACGGAGTCTCCCAGTGGAACGCATACACACGGTGTGATGAGGCTGCACGGAGTCTCCCAGTGGAACGCATACACACGGTGTGATGAGGCTGCATGGAGTCTCCCAGTGGAACGCATACACACAGTGTGCCTATTCAGTAGCAACAGTAGTACAATGCGCACACAGCACACAGCAATGAATGCAAGGACTTGGTTGTGTCATTGCTGTGCGAGTATTGTACTGCTGGCTCTGTTCACTGGACAGAGAGCACTATACGCAGCCTGAGGATCTTAGACAACCGTATAGTAGTAGTAGCAGTAGCAGTAGCAGTAGCAGTAGCAGTAGCAGTAGCAGTAGTAGTAGCAGTAGCAGTAGCAGTAGCAGTAGCAGTAGTAGTAGTAGTAGTAGTAGTAGTAGTAGTAGTAGTAACTAGAATAGTACACTAACTAAGTAGGCATAGCAAGAACAATTCATGAGAATAAAAGGAGTAACAACATACTACTTGAAGGGAGAAACGATCATTAAAAATTCAGACGGTACCATAAAAAAAGTGATAGCGGTATTTTTTGTGGAGATGAAATAAAGCGGAAGTATTGCTGAGTGTGTTGAGAACTAGACCAATCCCGAAACACAATTCAATACTATAGGTTTTTTGAAGTTACAAACATATCCAGAAAAGAGACCCATGGTGCCGGCCATGGTGGTGATGACGTGTGTGTGTGTGTGTGTGCGTGCGTGTGTGTGTGCGTGCGTGTGTGTGTGTGTGTGTGTGTGCGCATGCGTGCGTGCGTGCATGTGTGGGCACTGTACCTGCTAAAAATGCGAACGTGATGATGAATACAAGACACGTGGAGATAGGGTTAGGCCAGGAGGAGTGTTTCCTAAAGAACTCACCAATTATACTAAAATAGAAGTACAAACACACGGAGTAAAGACCAAATATAGTATAAAACTTTAAATATGCACACATCCCTCACACACTAGGTGGTGCACTGACCACCTCTTACAAAAAAACATACACTGCACCGACGGAAAAGAGTAGTTGAGTTACTTCCGCTGTGTTAATCGTTCAAGGTTCTGTTTGAAGTGCTGATAGTCACCGTACGATAACGTGACCTTATCGGAACGATAGCGCGTCAGGCGAATCGTGCGCAAGTACTGCTCCGTCACCCGGTCGGTGTAACCGCCCTTCTTCAGCAGGCTGCCCAGCGTCTCCATCTTGTCCCAGCCTACATGAAGACAACAAGAGAACCGCTCTCAAACTTCGTCTCCTTAACGAAAGACATCTTCAACTTGTCCTGCCGCAGTGGTTGCATTCAATCAATAGCTACTTTGTCACTCGTTCTTTCCCATTCGTTCCTTTCTCAGCTAATCAGGCTACCTTGGAGGATGGTGGGTGTAGGGTTTTTCATGTAATGAAGTGGCTGCAGTGGAACTTGCGCACATTTTAAAAGAAATACCCCTGGAAAGGACATGAACAACGATGATGCAGCTGCTGCGTCCACAGCACACTCTCTCGCACATGCAGGCTGTGCCCTGGATCTCACAAATGAAATAAGACGAGAGGACCGTTGGTTAAGCACACTTGTGCCTTGTGATATCATCACACCAACGAAGCTGGCAACAGCAACAAGGGAAACGAAAGCTGCCATGGCCTGTCGTCACAGTTTGCAGTCAACCTCCCTATTAAATGTTGTTAAAAAAATGTTGTTAAAACTAACAAAAAATTTGAAGACGGTGTGTGTGTAAGGTTTTCCATTTAAAATTGGAAACGTGAACACAAATACTGTACCGTATTATCTCTAATATAAGCACAGTCTCCAATAATAGCACGTCTCCAATAATAGAACACCTTGGGGCGGCATTCAAAAAATAAAGTGCTCAGTCTCCATTATAAGCACACTGTGTAAATTCATTATCTGTACCGGCGAAAAAAACCCTGAAATGTGTGTGTCATACATGAATTTGGCATGGCAACATGCCTCTGAAATGAGGTTGAAATAATAATGGAACAGTCTCCAATAAAGGAACGTCTCCATTAATAGCACGGGGCGGAGGTACATTGAAAAAATAAAGGACCGTGCTTATATTAGAGATAATACGGTAAGTATGTTATAGGCATATACATATACAAACATTGAGAAGCCTGTCACGCATGAACTTTACCTTGCTCCGATGCGACTTCGGGAAGGTATGTTGCTGTCTTAGTACGTCCTCGGAACTCAAACTCAATCCTTATGCCATGAATGCCAATCTGCAGTGCACATCACCACCAGCAAACACATGCGTAAGAAAGTCATTTGTACTGATACAGAAGACAACCACCCCTCCCACCAAACACACGTGCATGCACGCACACACGCACACACGCGCGCGCGCACACACACACGCACACACATACATACATACACATATGCACACACGCATGCACACACACGCATGCGCACGCACACACACACACACACACACACACACACACACACACATCCAGTGTGATATGCGAAGACGGCTGATCGGAGCACACAGCCATAAACGCCCCACGGGAGATTAGCTTTATCTGCCATTGTTTGTCTGGCCCAATGTGTCTAGTCCAACACAGGAGCAGCCAGTCAGTCTACTGTACCATGTCCCTCCACAAACACCATGTCACAGCAAACATTTTACTCCTGGCTGCGTCATAACCAGGATGAACACTTCCATAGAAACACCGCCTCAGATGAGCAGTCCCTAAGGGTCGCCGCGACTCTTATCGCCACAGGACACATTGAGCTATTCAGCAACGCGACACTCCCGCTGTTAAATTTGTCCAAATGTCAGGAGATAATCTGAACAAAAGCACGGCCATCAGAATACGATACACAGATACGTGTGCGGATACCAATGACAGCCAACATCACGCAAACGTCTCGGTTTCTGCCCGCAGAATTCCAACCGTACCTCCCAGTCAAGATAACTCCGTGCCTGCTCGAAATTGGTCAGCAGCGATATGCCGCAATCGAGCAGCGAGATCTCTTCCCACTTGATCGGGTTGAAGCGACTGTCCTTCAGTGCACTGCAGAGGATGAGGGCAGTGTAAAACAACGTGCACAGTTACTGAGTACCGCGCCAACTGGCTAAGGATTAATGAGCTCAAAAGAACTGAAAATATCCTCCAACATGTGACGCTGAGCATACATGGAGAACATCAAGTTCCAATTGGATTTTTAAAAAAACCTAGAGACGCACTACTAGTAACTTGTCAGCCGTTTGGAATCTAAGCAAATAAGTACTCCTACCTCTATTACAACTGGAGAAATAAGTACTCTTACTTCTATTACGATAGGAGCAGCTCGAACAACATGTTCGATACACAAAAGTGCAGTGCAATATACACAAACACAGGAGGTGATAGGGCTGAAGAGCTGAACAACTTTCTCCTCCTGTGCTCGTCTATAGTACGCTTTTATGACCATGATTGCATTAGGCGGCAAAGAAGTTGCTCAGAAGCATAGCGGATGATGCCATCAAGCAACTGACCTAGTGAGAGTGTACTGGCGCAGACCTTCACGCAGTGGAGTGTCTGAAAACGTGCCGATACAACCTCTCAGCTGCTTGTTTGCTGAGAACTTGAACGTGACGAATAGAGGACTGCAACAGAAGCAACACGATACACAGAACCTTAGCAGTCGGTCATACGGTCACATTCCAGCTTAGATTTGGCATGAATTCAATGGTGCACCGACCCTCCTCCTCACTACACTGGGGTGCACCAGACAGGCATATATTATAATTGTATGCAGGTCCTTGCTACAGTGCTGCTTCATGAAATCCAACCTCACGAGACAGCCAGTGCTGGGTGCCGTGCAGCACTAGGCTTTCGAACACTGGGCTGTGCACCGGAGCATGTGCAGGTGCCAATTTACCGATATTCAAGGTTGGATTTTCATTGAGCACGAATGTACATCACATCACTCGGATAAGATGGCTACTCACGAGGTGGAAGGAATGGTTGATACTGGGATTTATGTGGAGTTTTGAAAGCCGATTGTCAATGCCAGTACACTGTACTGGCCAGCTCAGTGTGTATGAGCAGGCTGTACTGGCCAGTTCGGTGGCCGCGGAATCTGTATCTATGGTGCATAGCTCGTGACAATGCGAGCATTTTGACATACATAATTCTTGGTGGGTTCATGTTTGGACAATTTTTCCCTGGAATTTTGGGGTTCGAAGTATCAGTATTCCACTTTATTGATATTATGGTTTGGAGCATGGCACAGAGGATATTATCAATTCAGATTGCGGAGGCAAGGCGTTGATTGCTCAGTTAGAGGGGCGTTTGAATGAGCTTGTTGCAACGCTGGTAACAGCAAACTCAAGTGCAGAGCAAGAACAGCTACCCAAGCCAAGAATAAACAACGCTTCACTCCACCAACAGCGGTATCACATCACCCGAACGTGGACTGAGAGAAGAGGACGTTGAAAAGTCTCAGTTTTTCATATGAAATACTCATAATGTACAAACTTGACCTTACTAGGCTGCGTCTGTGAAGTCAGGCTTGACGATTCTGTGCCTTGGATTGTGATGGTTCACAAGGACGTCAAAGCAATAAACGCACATTGACTCCGTCGCAACCTGCTGGCTAGATGCTGCGGCATCCATAGCTGTACAATTATTTGACAAATCCAAACGTTTCTTCCAAACAAGAGTGAGTGCACTGTAGATATGCCTGGCAGTGTGTCCAAACCAAGGAAGTAGAGCTGCGCTGCACTGTTCGTAAGTAGTGCACAAAGGTACCAAAGTTCAACGACGGACAACTTCTCCTTGCCTGGCTTGAGTCGTTCAGACAGTACAACAGCCCACAGCAGCACGAAGCAGGTAGACAAATCAAACAATTAAATTTATTTGATTTGATCCAGCAAAACCTTTTTGAGTCAACCTGGCCTGGCCTGGCTGGGAGCACCCACAAGGGCCACATGTACATCGTGCAGTACTTCCTGGATCATATCAACGTCATGATTGGGTGTGTAGGGGAATCCCCTACGGGTTCGGCAGGGTGGGTGCTTTACCGTACTGGCTCTAGCTCTAGCTGGCCCTGGGGCCCGGGGGGGGGGGGGGGGCACTTTTTTTCAAAGTCCATCATGTCATGTCACAGATTGCCTGATGGCACTATTCAAGAGAGGGGCCAGAGGGCACTATAATTTTTTCAATGCTGGTACACAGGGAGTCGTCAAATTGACGACTCCCTGCTGGTACATTTACGTTTTCCACTGCGGCATAAAAACAAAGAACGAAATAGTGGTCGCGACTTCGGCGATGATTTTTATGTAAACTATCACGACTCAACAGACACCGCAAGAAGAAGCCTTGAACTGCGATTTTGAGTACTGAAATCATCGGTGATGGTCAAGAACATCAGCAAAAGAACACCAAACGTGCACATGTGCTTGGTTTACAACGCCGGGGGGGGGGGGGGGGGGGGAGGGCATTATTCAAGAGAGGGTTTTATTTTTTCACCGGCTCTTGGAGACTGGGACACTATTGAAGAGAGGGCTCTAATCGCACGAGTACGATATGCCTGGTCGACACTAGCTAGTACTAGCCTACTACTAGGCCGAATTTTGCCCGATACTCCGTCACTGACATGAAATCCGCCGACTGGGTTGGCCCTATCATGTGACACACCCACACAAATTTGTCGGAAACGTGTGCGACAAGCCGACAACACCGTCCACACCAGGCACATTGTACTGCTGAGGCAACGAACTAAAATAAATCAAAACCAAAAACACCAGACAAGCAACACAGTCATCATGACTAGGCCTCGACCAAATATGCTAAAAAAGAGAGCATATATATAATTATGCTCGTCGCATATCAGGGAAAACGTCCATAATGTGCCAAAGGCTTAGCAAGATATGCAAAAAGATATGCCAAAATATGCTCGACATAAGCAGAAAGTGTAGATCATTTCAGTAAAATTACAACCTTGGAATATTCATTGGCTTCACGGCTATCATGCTTATGGTGCAAATTAAAAACACATGCGGAATAGTATGGCTGGGATGTGTCCCCAGCAACCGTAGCGATAGTGTTGATCCATGGGGAAATGTAGCAAACGCCTCAACCATTCCAAATTCATCCATAAAAGGCATTTCTGAACGCATTTTGTCCATATATAATATGAATGTTTTGTCCTCATTTTCTTCAGAATATTTGAATTATATGCTGCCTTCATTCCAATATTCCCTTTGTCGCTCAATATGCCATAATATCAACTGGCCCACAAAATATGCGGAAATACGCGCAAGCATATTTGGTCGAGGCCTAATCATGACTGACTAGTACAGTGCTGGCAACTGAAATCCGACCCCTGAGCGGTGCGCTCGCATCGCAAAGACCCAACACGGGATGGTAAAACTACGAAACAGAGGCCGCTAGAAAGTGAACGCACCGCTAGGGGGTCGGTCGGTCGGATTTCAGTTGCCAGCACTGTATTACCTTCGCTGGAGGCAGGGATAAGTACAGTTGGATCCCGGGACGGGTACCGTAATGCCGTTTATCCCTTTTCCGCACCTTGTCCTCACCCACTTACTGCGGTGTGATGAGCCCATATGTGAAGTCATTATTTTCAAGACCAACCGTTGGTAGCCCTTGGCGGATAATGAGGCAGAAAAATTGGCAGAATTTGGTACCTTTGGTATGGTTTATGCATGTTTGGTGTGTGGATAAAGAAATGGAGCAGAATTCAAGGAAGTGCCTGTCATAAGGTTGGTATGGTTCTACCAATTTCACCGCCTGCTTTTCGAGCAGAATCTGCCAATTTTCCCATTTTTCGAGCATTATCCACTAAGCTGCCCATTGAGCGGTTCAATAGCTATCTTTCCGCAAGGTTTCTTCTGCTCTCTCTCTCGCCTCTCTCAAGGGGTCCCGGGATACCCACGTGGCTAGTTTATGGCAGTGAGTAAGTACAGTAGTGCACTCGGTTTACAGTCCTAAAAAATACACACAACAACGTTGGAAGGCTGTTGGTTTGCGCATCCAGCTAAGCATCAGGTGGTTGAATGTCAGTATCACATCAGTCAGTATTGTGCTAGCTGTTGCACCTTCTGACTACACAACATCTTGCTTGTAACTGTTAGTGTTGGACACAAACTACGGATGACATGTAACATTCTGGTCCTTTCTTTTAAACAGCAGCAACATGTGGCCTTGCAGTAATCATTACTATGGTTCGTTATAACGAATCTGTTCGGTACAAAGGGTCAATTTGGCATGAGCTCTAACAAGGACATGGACGATATGATTATGATGAAACTCGCTATATGCGAGTTCATTATAAGTGGAGTCGACTGTATTGATATAATACAGTCTGTATCGGCTATAGAGTGACCGGATATAAGAATATATCGGCTACAGTGATATTGGTACGAAATATCAAAAGCAAAACGTATTTTATCCAGTACAAATATCACTATACTGACCCTCCAGGAAATCGCGATTCCACGGATGCAACAAATTTCGCGATTTTGGCCCAAACCCGCGATTTTCAGCAAAATCCGCTATTTCCCGCGTTTTTTGTTGTTTTCTGCACTATATCTCACATTTGTATGCACTTTTCACGCAGTTCTTTCCATGATCATGTCGGTTATTTGCACAGTACGACTCTCGAGTAGATATACGATGCAACAAATTTCGTGATTTGGCCCAAATCCGCAATTTTCTGCAAATAAATCCGCGAATTCCTGGCAAGTTCTGCATCATTCCGCACTTTTCGTCGCATTTTTTGTTACTTTCTGCCGCAATTTCTTGCGCAAGTTTTCGAGAGTTTTTTCCGCAAATTCCCGCAGGGACAGACTATAACCAATATTATCGGATGTAATGATATATCGGATATTATGATGGCAACAAGGAATCAAAATATGCATAACACATTACATTATTATTGGCTATAGTGATGACTTTAAAATACATGTTGCAATAATATCAAAGGCCCTATTTTTTTACTTTCTTCACGTTGCTTATTTTGATAGTGACACATGTACATGTACATAACAGAATTTTTTTATGGAAATGCGGGCCCTGTCAACTATGCAGCATGCTCATTTGTCAAAACGCCATGCTGGAAGTATTTCCTTGCCTTTCATGTGTCGATCGAAAAAAATCGATCGTATCGCACAATCATTATAGTGATGCATCGGTTATAGTGATAAAATCACGGAAATCAAAAGGGTACGCTATAGCCGATACAGACTGTACACCATAGCTCTAGTTCAATGTTTTGAAAATCTTTTTCAACACAACATTGGAGTACTACGGCCACCTCCTGATAGACGTGCAGGATAATTAGTTCTTTATAGTCTAAGTTCTCTAAGTATAATAGAAATGTACTCACACTGCAAGCTACAAGTCATGACTGACATGTGGCAATTGACAGTAAGATTCCACTTGGTTTACATGCGACCCAACGAGATGTGGTTCGTTTACTTCCGTATAAAGGTCAATTTTGTAAGGCCGTTCAAGATAGTAACTTGGATACTGGTTCGCTATTTCTGTAAGAGCAGAAATTTTCGGTAATCTCAGTGCCGACAATTTTTACCGAAAATAAAACGCACCAAAAATTTCCCTCCACCGAACCGCCGATTTTGGAGAGTACCGAAAATATTACACCACCGAAAATTTCTGCTTTTATAGTATCACGAAATTCGCTACATGCGAGTTTGTTATAAGTGGAGTCGACTGTAGGCCCGGAGGGTGTTACAACACGTAAAGACAAATGCAGTAAAATATTAATGCAACAGTACTCAGTAGAACTTCGAGGCTCTCGCATTTCCTCTTTCAGATATCAGAACTGCATGCTCGCATTGCTATCGCAGTATCGGACCAGACCAGCTGGCAGTGCATGGCAGACACTTACCGTCATCATGGTCATGGCACCGAAACACACCGGTAATCATTGATTGTGGTAGCAGCGCTGTTCGGCTCTATCCTGCAGGCCTGGTATGGGGAGTCACCGAGACAATCTACAACAGCAGTCTGCAACCACGTTACTTGCACTGATCCAGTATTCCTGTTACTGGTTACTGCCGCACTGAACAACGATAAAAAAAGTCAGAATCCGATCCACATGCACAGACCGCACGGGATTAAAATATGCTCGTGCGTGTGCGCACCATTTACAAGCAGCTGCTTCCTGCCTGCCTGCCCCTCTGCCTCTGGGACACGGTCGTTCAGGAAGGAGTTGTACTCGTACACGGCGCTGGTGACAGTGGTGTCAACCACACAAATCCTAGATCAGAGTAGGGAGAGGAGCAACAGTAACCGCTAGATCGTCATGTAGATCTACATGGCGTCGACCGTAGTCTAGTGTAGTCCTAGTAAGGCTAAGCAATCATACCGGTAGTGGCCACGGCGAAATCAAAAGCAGTGGACTGTACTTGCCGCGTGGAGGGTGCTACATGTATGTCGGTTCGTGGTTAGCTTGGATCGTTTTCGAGGAAGAACTGCGTTTTGGTACTTAGTTGGATTACAGAGTACAGTCAGTGTAGATCTACCAGGCACTCACTGACTCAGTGCATGCAGACAGTCTAGACTAGACTAGAGAGATACATGTAGCGATGACAAGGAAGATGCAGATCGTGATCGTAGATCTAGAAGTAGAAGTAGAACACTAGCACCGACTTGTAAAACGTTGCCGCCCGAAAAGTAAATAAATATGTTACCACGGGAGTGGAGCACGCGGCGCCTGGGGTCAACCTCCCCTCTCGTCCTCCTACATAAATTGTAGTCCTAGATCCTGTCCTGCCACCACAGCACTAGTGTCGTAGTGACCTCGCCAGCATCGAACCGCGCTGCCCAACCATAGATCTACGCATCGGAGGATCTGTGTCTTTTTTTTTGTGGCCTTGTCATTTCAAAAGTACATGATTGTTACAGTACCGGTAGTATGCAAATACGGGCTTGTGTTGTGTCAAGCAATACATTGGGCGGTATTCCACAGGTGGACTTCGTCTCGACACCGAAACGGTAGCGCTGGTTGATTGCCAGAGAAGGTTCCCGGAGAAGGTCGAAAGAAGGCTTAGCTTTGAGTGTACCGCGTCACTATCATGTCGGACCGTTCAGCTTGAATGAAGTTCCTTGGTCAGAATGACCGAGCCCTGATTGATTAGCAGCATTGTTTACATGCAACTAACTGTTGATTGAAAATCCGACTGGAGAGTGAACCCTGGCTGTGCTCGGCGAACATGCTGACTGGATTCCGAACATACGGATCCCCTGCTCCAGCGGGGTCCGGTGGAGAAAATGCGGAGCAGACGGTGGTCAGCAACTTGGGCGTGATAAACCCCCGGCGCTTCAAGACCCTGAAGCGAAACCAAGGAGTGAGCACCGAGGCAGAGAATGAGCCGTCCATGAGCCTGCGGCTGGCTCCACAACCAAGCGTAAGTAGTACTAAGTTAGTACACATACAGTGATCAGTATTGCTAGCAGCACGGGGCAACATGACAAACTACTGCTGCTACACAGAGTAACTTGTATCCGCAAACCCGAACCTCAGTGTGCACCGAGAACCGTCGGTATACCAGCGTAGGTTTGTTTGTAATTGAACAGGTGCGCTCCGAAACGTATTCTCTTCCATTCAACCTATCCGTCTGTCCGACGGATGCCGTAGTTACTAAGTTACAGAGGATGGCTCGGACCATAAATAATGCAGTACAGTCAAATAATTGGGAAGCAACGATTACCCAAGATACTGCTAGAGGTGCAGGGATGATAGAGCAAAGAAATCACATCATCATACTAAGCTACACAGAATAGCAGGAACAACAAGGAGTGGAACCCTGGATGCTTGCTAGGTTTCATTCTGCATGTGGTCATACAAATGGCAAGAGCATCTGATAATTCGTCACGAATCAAAGAACTTGTGTGACCAGTTGTTCATGGTGTAGAGCAACGGTATACATGAAAAACATCACATGGTTCTGGACATGGGCAACGCAACGTACAAGGTCATGTTTTGTAGCAAGTTTTGTCATAAAATAATGTCTTTCCTTGAAGCGATGGTGTGAAGAGGAGGTGTAGGATTGCAATGACCAGTGCGACACGTAGCATTATGTCGCTTTTTAAATGATGTCATGACACTGTAGAGGTGCCATGGAAAAGTGATATCACACGTACTCCGTGTGTGGTGCATCTGCCATTACATTAGGTGTGGAGAATGTGCTCGTCGTTGTGTTATTTCATTCACACATAATGTAATCACTGATCTGTCATGGATAATGGGAATGCTTCCTATAACACTAGACCCTACATAAGGTGACACATGGCACCAAGCCCCAAGGCCCCAGCATGCTACACCGCACCTCCCGGGGTTTGCATCACCTCAGTGGCTATCTATCAGAGTGAGGCACAGAAGGACTAGCTTCTTTTACCCGAAGGCCCACAATGATGCGGGGGATTGTTTGCTGCGTGGCTGTCCCTCACCCAGGTCGTATACCAGGACCGCCGGAAGCAATTTTTGATTGGTCCGGTAGTATCATGGCCTTTTTAAACCCTGTGTATGATATGGCGGGTACACAGTCATGCCCTCCACAGTAGTAAACATTGTGTTGGTGGCCAAAGAATTGGTCCGGTGATAACCTGATCAACCGAACCGGTTCCCGCGGGCCTGTACTGATACTATCATCAAAGTGGGACTTCGTCTACAGTACTGCCGGGCGCCGAAGAACAGAGTGCCAGAGAGCGGCCAGGCTAGAATCTCCACAAGCACAGCATACCAGTGTATACACGGTGACTTAACTGTGCATAGACTGTCATACATGAAAATAAGAACGGTCTAGGCTGGGAGGCTGACCCCCCCCCCAGTTCTTCGGCGACCGACAGTACTGTAGCTACAGTAAAACCTGTCCAAGAAGACCACTACAAACAGGACCAAGGGATGGTCTTCCAGTCAATTGACCCTGGATATGGAGACCACCTGGTAACAGAGACCACACTTTGAAGGCCCCTTCAGTGGTCGTCTTGGACAGGTTTCATTGTATGTCACACATGTCTGATGTGGGCTTGCAACAGCTCCTATAGGCACACCTGGTATTATACTGTGATAGGGTTTGTTGCCAATGCATCTCCATCCATGGTCTGCTGGTTTTGGTTTTACACTCCAGGTTTCTGCTCCTACCGAATTGCCCGACTATGAAAGCGAAGTGAACAAACTTGAGGCGGAGATCGAGGATGACGAGTGTCCCGAGCTGCTGACATTTCCCAAGGACGATATCCAGGTACATGCCAGTGGAGTGTGTGTTGTCAGAATATTGTTGCACTAAATGACATACATCGAAGCTGTAAATGGATTGCTTCAAACCAGTGGCATTCATTCCATTAAATTCTCCTCTCTGATAAAGCCTGAGGGTGTATAGTATGATTTGGAAAGGTGAGCTATGAATTTTTACAGCTTCCCACATTGTGTGTATGTTGTAGATCTATTGTAGGCAAAATTCGATCTACCCAGCAGGACTGTCAACTTTTCATCGAGAACAATAATTATTATTATTGTTGACAAGCACCTTGGTGCTAGTTACTCAGCTCATCAGCTTTACTATCCTATGCCATCAGGTAACGAGCATACCTCGGCGATTACGTACCGAGAAGTCGACTATACCGCAAGGTGCCCTGGACCAAGCCGAGTCACTATTCACACGCAAGGTAGGGTGAAATGAAAATGATGCCAGGCAGACTGGCAAGAGCACACATCTGAGTATTCTATATTGATGCACATGCGTATGAGAGTTGTGGTGCTTTATCAGAGTATTCCTGTACTGACACGTCATCGACCGGTTGATCCAGTTGGGCAAATTCCGGAAAGTAGCCGCATTTGCATGTGCTTTACATGTATGACGTTTCCATGTCTTTAATCGTGCCTCTCGCCAGTGAAAAGATGTGCTGACGAGAAGTCTGTGTGAATGGTCATGACAAAATAGCATCGTTATGAGCTGACCTGGTGATACTTGGCTACATACATGTACATTACATGTATGCATTATGCGGGTTTGTGTACAAATATCGGGCTTGAAATTGTGCGTTTGTGTTTGCATCATCCATACTGGCTGCAGTGCATCAAGAGTTATTCGTCTGATTGGCATGTTGTACGTCACAACTACTCCAAGTATGGCAGCGATTACGTTAGACTGCAAAGGTGAGCCTCCCACAAGGCTGTGCGTCTGTGGATGTGAGTGCGCGTGTGTGTGTGGGGGGGGGGGGGGGGGGATTGCCATGTGTTTGGGTGGTCTTAGGGAAGGGGCTGGAGAGGAGAGAGGGAGAGGGGTTGTTTATCAACCAGACTAGCTGGCATCCAGGTATGCGCGTGCGCCCCCCCCCCCCCCCCCCCCCACACACACACATGCAAACACACAAACACACACACACACACACACACACACACACACACACACACACACACACACACATACGCATGCGCGCACATACACACACACCATGAGGACCCGTGAAATTCTACCCATGCTGCGTGCGACTTTTCAAATCCCTGGCTTCAAACTGACCAGATGAAATCCAGTGCTGCTTTCGATCTGAGCCATGTCGCTGAAATCCTACTGTCTAACATTTGGAATTGGTTTGTGATGTTTGTTGGACAGTCCTGGTGCTGCAGCTGGCTTGCCTGAACACACGTACGAAGTTGATGCTCAAGAAGATTCTGTTACGGCAGAGGAGCAACGAGATGTGTTTGAGGTGAGAAGGTTTGTTGAGCTGCTTTGCAGATTTGTGCCCTTTCACCAGGGGGTGGGCCCACATCAGTAAAATGCACTTCTGGCACCTGTTGCCAGGAGCCATGTGATTTGGACAAAAAATGGGATTGTCAAGGCATACCCTCTCCTTTTGCTTCTTCCTCCTTGCTCACTCTATTTTCATCTTTCTTGCCGCCCTATTTGTCTAGCCTCAGACACGGGTATATGCTGTGCCATTCAATATTATAATGTAAAAAGAAAAGGACCTATAAGTTACTAGTTATAACTAACAGTCCATCAAGGTAACGAGATACAGTCAGATAGTGCGATAACAAGGTACAAAACTAACCTGGATATTGAGACATTCTATACTTATTACTATTGGCCAACATCCGAGTTTTCATTCACTATTATGTTTGACAATGCTCTTCAATACTTTCGCACTGCAGCAATCAGGAGACATGAGTACAGCTGGAAAGAAGGATGGCGGCAGCACTGTCATCAAAGAAGGCTGGTTGACCAAGACTCCTTTCTTTGACAGTGGCGGCTTTGCAGCCATGACCATGCGGGTAAGGAATAATCATGTAGTGACATGGGCAGACACCTCAGCTTCCTATCACAATATGCAGCTACGATGTGGGAACTAAACCAAAGAATGCAAGAGTTAGATTACGCAACTCCTTCTTATGCTAAAGGCCCATGGGGAATCCATAAATTTAATTTACAACTACTTATGGTCTTGTACATAGGAAAGGGACACATGAATACGAGTTATGCTGAGCACATGTACAAGTAGCTGTCCACCACCTATGGTCTTGCGTACTCCTGTTAGATGTCTATGTGTTCGTCTAGTATGCCACGTCTCGTTTCTTGGCTGACGGCCAGGTGCCTTCCTAACCAATTCGTTTTTGATGACACTCTATTACCTGTAGCAATTCAAGCGCCGGTGGTACGCCATCAGACAGAACGCGGACAAGAGCTATATCATACTCCAGCACAAGGTAACTAGCTGCAAGGCCTGCACCACATAGCCTGCCAGCAGGTGATCTGGAAGCAGGTCATCTTGAAGCAGGTAGCGAGGGGAATGTACGGTGCTGTTGTGGTATACTTTTATTGCCGCTTCAAAAAGTGCTGAGTGTAGTTGATTGGAAGGGAACCATTTTGAGTGTCACCAGAACTAGACATTGCATTTTTGATGGCAGAATATTCTCATGGTCAGCATACATAGTAGTCGCTCAGCATGCTTCTTTGCTTCACTGTGTGCTGTTTCATGTGTGTTTGTCGACCTGGTCTAGGACGACTCGACGTCCACAGCCAAGCACATGATGAGCCTTGACGCCGTCACGGCCCTCAATGAGGTAACTGTTATAGCACAGAACAGGAGCGTAGCTTCCACATCTGTGGTGTGGTGACCATCCGCCAGAGCACATCTGTGGTGTGGTGACCATCCGCCAGAGCACATCTGTGGTGTAGTGACCATGTACCACCGGCAACCACATAGTCGTCATTTTGCCTATTTGGCTATGTAGTTCCCATGACGGCCATTTGCTGGTGAGGTGACTGGACTACGTTGACTGTACATGAGCTACGCGCCTGGAGCACGTGCAGGAGAGTACAGTGGTGGACACACTATACTCTCGTGTGATGTTTAATAGAGCACTATGCTGGCTGGTTTTTGCCGGGCTGTTTGCCAGGGTTTGATGTTCAATGTATGTACCTAGCACAGGGCATGTCATGTACGGTATTTTCTCTATCAGTGAAAGCACAGCACCAGCCAGGCCAGTTTGAAACGCCGGTCACACGGTGCTGGGCAGTGTGTGATGGGTAACGAGCCTCAAGTGATCTTTAGAATTGTTGGACATCAATTTTGCAATCCTTGACCATGAAGATAGTGGTGATGTCGGAGGAACAATACTTCTGTGCCGCCTACACTTTCACAAAGAAATCTGCTCGGGACTGCTGTTAAAAAAGTCTCGAGCAATCAAGTACTGGTTGAATGTTCAGAGGCTAATGATGAATTTGAGAAAACGTACAAAGCTCATAGCTTCATAACACATAGCTTCATAACACTTCCAGTGTTTCATGGTACACCGTGGTGACAATTCAGGAGCTCTACCTGTGTGGATATGATTATTATGAGAACTTTGTGTACAATGTGATAACTAACTGACACCTATTGCCTCCTTTCTCTCAGGGTGTACTTGAAAAGAGACATGGTTTCAGGCTGCTTGCAGCCGGACGTGAACACGGTTTCATTGCTGATTCCGAGGAGGATCTGAAGCAATGGCTGGAAGCGTTGGACACATGCGTTGCACCAAATGCCCGACTGAAAGCAAGCACAGTCGACAAGAAGCAGCCAGTTGAGAAAACCCAGGACAAATCGCCCGAGAAGGCAGCGTCCAGTCCGCGCATGCGCTGGAAAGCCACCCGCACCAAAGTCAGCGCACTGGACAGAATTGATAGTGTCAGATCTAGCTTGCAGAGCAGTATGCATCCGGAGCTACTGAAGGTAATTCATGATCAGCGAAACTCTACACACGACTAGACATCGAATCCATATGTGCGTAGTCAAAATGCAGTCTCTTATGCTAGACCGATATCCTGTTAATCTGACAGATTACCTCTTATGTTGTCGGGTGTGTTTGGCCAGCCCTGTAGCGTTGCAGTGACTAGATTTCAGATGGACACATATAGTATGTAGAACCCTGATACTATTAGGATTCTAGCTAGGAAGAATCTGCAACAGAAGAAGGAGTGGGTGTCCGGACTGAACAGAAGAATACATCTGCATGGTTGCTGGATACAGTTATTGTACCCTTGCATATGCTATCCAAGTCATTTAACAGCGCTGTGGTGTTTTGTACTGAAAATTGCAGTACTCCATGCCTGTAGGAGCCCCCCCCCCCCCACACACACATGCACCATCACCACTATCAGGTCACCAGTTAAGGAGGTTTCTGTGCCCTTCAGCGCTCCCAGTTTGGCTAGACCACTGACGTACATGTATGCAATCTAAGTTGTGTACATAGCAAAGCGTTGGTATAACTAGTTTTGTCGACGTTCAATCTGTATCTCAATACAGTTTATATCTTTCATGACTATGACGGAATTCCTTGCAGTATGCCAATGAAACGGACGATGACAACGAGAAGAAACGACGTGACACGCGCCGCTACAGGATATTTGAGCTCTGTCCGGATCTGAACGTAAGCAGCTTGTCGGTCCGTTTACAGCCGTGTGTGATGTCAGACACAGGGTATGGATCAACACAGTGCAACTGTGCAGTAGCACTTATGTACTCGGGGAGTCATGTTGGCTTGGTGATAGTAGGCATGCAGCACGCAGATCTGGTCAGCTGATGATGCTCTGATCAGTACCATAGTTACTCAGGTTATTGAGAAATATTCCCAGGGGTGTAGCTCGCACGTCTGTGGTGTGGTGACCATGTACCAGAGCACATCTTGGTGTGGTGACCATGTACGAGAGCACATCTGTGGTGTAGTGACCATGTACCAGAGCACATCTTGGTGTGGTGACCATGTACCACCGGCAAACTCATAGCTGCCATTTTGCCCATTTTGACTATGTAGTACCTACATCATGTGTATGGCCGTCATTTGCTGGTGTGGTGAGCGGGCTACGCTGACTACACACGAGCTACACGCCTGATTCCCATCATGTTGTGCATCGTTCACTGACTACATGTACACAGTGATCAGCTGTCTGAGTAAGTTACAGATTGATCTCCTTCTGCACCCCCTCCTTTAGGTGAAGCTACTACACGAGTCTGACAACAGTCTTGATTTCCAAGAGGAAGAGTTGCCCAAGGAATTTCTCGGTCACCTGCGTTTCATGGTGGATTGCAAAGAGCTGCGGTTCCGAGTGGCAGACTGGATGATGACCAGCCTAGAGTCGACAAAGAGAGGCCACGTGAGTCAAACTATACTGCCATTACATGTATCGGTAACATTATATCAGTAGTGTTCTGGTGCAAACCACTGTGCTGGGTGGGGTCATAACCTATTCATTCCCTACATAGTCTTTCCTGCATGTGCATGGCTGCTTAGCATTGCTCTTGTTCTAGACGTTTGCACCGATAGCACTTCTTTCACTACAACATGATCAACTTCGCGGTGACACTTGATGATTCTGTCATCCTTCACAGGTGGAGCCATTTTTCTGCAGCCTGGCTCTGTTTGATGCCGGACGAGGCATAAAGATCTCGGAAGACTTTCACTTTGACATCAACAGCGAGTACTTGCGATCGCTGCTGGCCACGGCGCGACGGCATGGTAGTCCCACGATGCGTGGCGGCCTACTGCGTAAAATGACACGACGGCAAAAGAAGCAGCAAGGCTTGGCTGGGGCAGGAGCACCGTCGCAGCTGGCAGCAACAGGAGCAGCTCCGCTCGCCAAGCGTGCTCGCTCCCTGAATGACATCACCGAAGGCGGTGACGATGAGTTTGATGAGCTCACGGCAGTCACATCAACGTCAGAGGAGCTGGGGCCCACAGGAGCACAACAGGTAAGGGTGATCTGCTTAGGCTTGGCAGTTCTCCAAGCAGTTGATAGCATGTTTCCGACCCCCCCCCCCCCCCCCCCCTCCCGGGCCAACCCCCGCCGAGAGCAAAAAGAAATCCCTACATAGAGAAGAAAGACGGCATTTGTGATTTTAATCAATTTTAGGTACAGGTATGTAACTTGACTGGCCAGGGTGACCGTTGATTGGTGAACTTAATGTTCAGGTCTTTGTGATCATCCCGTCCTTGCAGGCTATCTTCTCTGTGACCTTCCCTAGCAACGAGATGTTCCTGGTGTTGAGGGTGGAGAAGGTCCTACAGGCTGGAAGCATATCGAATGTTGTGGACCCCTACATGAAGGCCGCTGATCCAAAGGTAAACATACAAGTAACTCACCAGCGGGGGATCACTGAGTGAACCATAGTGTGTATACTTCATAAGGAGCTCTGCAAGATGTTCTGTAAGAGTTCAATCTCTAGCAGGGCACCAGGTTAACAATTCGACGAGAACATATCCATCACTACCTTGGAAGGAATGTTACCTAAACACTATTCCTTCTCTCCTCTGTACTGTAGCGATAAAGGCTGGGTGTCTGATGGAAGGGTCATTATACTTGTGTCCGCAAAGTGGTAAAAATTGCAAATCGTTAAACTTTAGACTCGTTGCACTTTCACCTCTTACAGTAGCATACACAGACACATGCTACAGTCGACCTACCCTTATAACGATAGCCTCTATAACGATATTACCCGTATAACGATATTTTTCTGCCAAACCAAATCACTCCATTGACTTGTGTATACAATGCCTTACCTCCATAACAATATTGCTATAACTATATTACCCCTATAACGATATAAAATGGGCTGACAAATCGACATTTTCCATTTTATAACAATATCTAGCAGGGAATATGTAGAGCCCACTATCCAGGTAGAGCAAGCTTGACTTGATAAGTCGCTGGGACATGCGAAATGCAATGGGGGCACCTTGCTGTGTGCATAATATGCACGTATGTCAGTTTTTATGCTATGAAGAGTGTAAACAATGAACAAAATCCATGCATTATGACGTATGTGTATGAATGAACCAGTTACCCCTATAACAATACTACCCTTATAACAATATATCTTGGTCTGACGCAAATATCGTTATAAGGGTAGGTCGACTGTACATGGAGTTCAATTTTTTTGTTAATCCTCAAATGTATATCATGTATATCATGTGTTCTGCATAAGAGAGATTGGAAGCTTTGTCACAACTCTGAGTTTCACGTATTACTACGATCATCAGGCATGTGTTCTGCCATGTGTTCTGCAAACTTTTGTATTGCTCGCCGAGGAGATTTCATGTCTTGACCTGTCAGCATACACTTTGTTTGTATCACAGGTTGTGGAAAGGGTAAAGAGCCAGGCAAAGATCTTCTGCAATCGCCTTGGTCAGTACCGGATGCCATTTGCTTGGGCAGCAAGGTAACACTCTTATGTATGATAGAGAGCGAATTGGATGTGAACATGTGTATCGGGATATTTTATTTATTTATTTATTATTTTACTTCACCAGATACGCAGGCATTTCTGCCTTCTCGTCTAACCGTACAGCTTGACTAAAATTATAATATGAAGAAGTGGGGTCTTATCGAAGAATGAGAATTTCTATGACAGATAGAGAATACTGTAAATATACAAATTTTCGGCAGCTATTTAATTTCGGCTATATTCGGCACCGACCCGAAACGCCTAAATTAAAACGCCGATGAAAATTTTCACAGCATCTGTCGCACTATACTATGCCCTCTACCCACGCCGAAAATAAATCGCCGCCGAAATGTCAAAAATCGTGAAGTGCCGAAATTTTGCAGCGCCGAAATTTTGTATATTTACAGTAGGCACTAAGTCAGTATGTTTGGACTGGTATGCACGGCAGCATGTACTTCAGAGATGCAAAACTGTGTCTGCTGTCTTCCGTCATGCACTTCATTATTGATACATGTACTCTGCATGCATACATATATCTCCTTCAGGCCTCTTCTGAAGAACGGACAGATGGACTTTTCTGCAGAGTTTACTCCTTTCTTTCGGCAGGTGAGGTGATTTCTGTACCCTGGATATTCTGCGCACCATGGCCAGTGCCTTAAGTTCAACGGGTTATCTTCCATGTGTATATCAAGTACATAATGAATATGCTTTTCTGTGGAAAAATTGCTCTTTTCTGAGATTAATCCACCTGTGGAAGTCGCACTTGAGCATTGATCACAGCATGAGAACCGTGGTCACAACTAAATGCTAGAAGTCATCTATTTAGTATTCTGTTAGCTCTCGATGATTTACAATGTAGTGCCATGAGTGGTGATGAGTCAGAGTTAATCAGGCAGGTGCTGTCATTTTCAGATGGACAATGCCACAAATGCCCGTTTCAGCTCTTGATTGGTTGCTAAAGGAGCAATAAAGCATTCCCACTTTGTGCTTATCTTGCTATGCATGTACCAGGAACGAGAGCGACTAACGGATGATGACATGGTCCGTCTTCTTCAGGACCATAAGCTGTAAGTCAGAGTTACAATGTCCATTCTTGTTTGAATTATGTCATTGGTGCCGAGAAGGATGGCACAGATAGGATTGAAATTGCGAGGAATTTGGGCTGTTGCATCCAGGCCTTCTTCCGATTCTCTATTAGATTGCGCCCTGGACGAAGTGTTGACTTATAGATTTTATGGTGATTCTACAACCTTGTAATTATAAGAACATGACTAGGTTCTCTCTTTGCTTCAGGCACAGAGTATCTACGAGTTATGTCACAACTAAGCAGTTTCTTGGTTCTTCTCTGCATGTATATAAGGCCCTGCACCCAGGAGTATTGACTATTGAGCAATCTCTTGAGCTGCCACAACTTGCTTCAAATGAGTCGCTACTGTCTTATTATATTCTTGATTCAGTGGCAAGTTGCGACCAACTGTGGTCCCGGCCGATGTTCTTGATATCAGCTTGAAGGAAGCTCCAAAGTCCATACCAGGTGAGTGGTTAGTCAAGATTGCCGCGAACAGTATTAGAGGGGTTAGGCCGATACCCTATCCCCACCTCAGCCCCCGCCCCCAATACATCAAGAACTATGATGCTGTATCGCAAAGTGATACTGTAATAATTATTATACAAATTTTCGGCAGCTATTTAATTTCGGCTATATTCGGCACCGACCCAAAACGCCTAAATTAAAACGCCGATGAAATTTTTCACAGCATCTGTCGCACTATACTATGCCCTCTACCCCACGCCGAAAATAAATCGCCGCCGAAATGTCAAAAATCGTGAAGTGCCGAAATTTTGCAGCGCCGAAATTTTGTATACCGTAAAGTACCGCCAGAGCGCCCCACCATCTCGTCCTTTCGTGGTCGTCTTGTGGAGGTGGTTCCTGTCTGTAGGTCATACGACACGGACCTTGTACACACATTGCAGTCAATCCGTTTCCAGTTTACCTTCAAGCGGATGCGAGCTCCACATAAAAACATGCCAAGTGTGACCTTAGTACACGAAGGTTCTCACACCGTACAAACTTTGTATCATTCTGCCATACGATTGTCTTCCCTTGGCTGTAAAATCAAGGTGGGGCGCTCTCGCGAGACGGGGCGCTCTGGCGGTACTTTACGGTATTTACAGTAGATGGTTGGAGACAAGTGTTGAACCTTTCGCAGACATGCCTCAAGAAGAAGTACCAAAGCCATGGCCCACAGGCCTGACGTTGGTCTGAGACCTCTTGTAGCAGCAGTGCTGGTCACTCTCCAGACCATGAACACACCGCTCCCTGACACTCGTACGTCCTACGTCGTGGTCGGAGTCAGCTAAAAAGGTGATTGGTATCACTCTTAGCCCAGAGGAATGAGCTCTGGTTAAGCTATCTCAATTCGGTAGCTGATTCCTTGAAATAGACATGGGTGTTAGACTGTTAGCACTGTCAATGAAATAGGCCTAAGTAATCCAGTCACAAGGACTTCATCAAACCGACACCACAGGCACTCCGAGGGATCTGCACCAATCCTCACACATGCAGTGGCACCTTACAGTCTTAGGTTTGCTTATACATGTACAGCTGTTGACTTACCTACGTTGCTTTGCGGCTGTTGGTAGGTTGTCTGACTTCATCGCTGGTTCCAGTCAAGCCGTTCTCGGGGACACTGCGTACTCACTCCATGGGCACTGGGTTGATCCGCGAGGTAAGGACAGCCAACACAATGCTACTGTGTCATCATACATAGGTACTACTGTACATAGCTTGTAGCAGGCCAATATTCCGTTCTTGTAGCCCACCTACATCATGGCAAACAAGGAAGGCAGGTCAGTACTGTACGGCAAGTGACATCACTTATTTGACCAATTCTAGGATCCGAATGCAATTGTTTGTAAGATGACTTGGCAATTGTTTGTTTTACAACCAATAATACCATACTTCAAACCCGTTCTGTTGAGCCTCTGCGCAATGCGTCATATGCCGTGGTTGCTGCCACAAGTATGGTTCGAATACTATCGGTCTAGTTCCTATTCTACTGGCATTTCAGTCCCCTCTCCGATTTACTGTGCTGTGTGCTACACACCTTCTTGCTATATAACTTACAGATCCAAGAAGTGGTGCCACTGCAGGTCTATGACCCACACCCGCACAACTACATCAATCTGTCCTACAGAAACCTGCTCTATGTGTATCCTATCTCAGTCAAACTGGATCCGCAGAAAGTCAATACGAGAGTAAGTAGTGATCATGTGTATGACTTCACTTGATTTCTGTGCACAGTAGGTAGTGAAGGTAAAGCAAGAGGAATTATCAGGCTTTCAGTACCGCTGGTAGTCAATGATGTGTAAAGGTATACCCGCAGGACATGTAAAAGGTATACCCGCAGGGCATGTATGACTGTGTGTGACCAGGTATGAATACTCAAGTTCCCAGTGGAGCAATTTAACAGGGGTATGTCTGTAGCCCACTCAAACTACTACAGGCCACTGGTGCACATCACAGTGAACTAATTTCAATTATCGAATGTTCACAAATACAACAATGCACTGAAGGACATGTGTGACCTTTTTTTTCACTGCTACGATGGTCATGATTGTGTCATTGCTGGCTCTATCCACCGAACATGAAGCCCTTTGGAGGATTACAGACACCTGTCTATCAGCAATATGACATTTTGTGTGTGTATGTGTGTGTGGGTGCATGCGTGTGTGTGTGTGTGTGTGTGTGTGTGTGTGTGTGTGTTTGCGTGTGTTTGTGCACACTGGACTACTCTTGTGCTGTAGGCACGCAATATCACCTGCTACATTCACGTGAAGGACACAGATGAACCTGGCCACACTCCGTTGCAGGTAAGCCGTGAAAAGCAGATTGATTTGTTTCATGATTTACACAAAGCAAACTCGTTGTTGTCTGGCGTTGCATTTATAGTTGATGTGCAGTCAACTTTGTGAATAACAACCTCAGGCATAACAACAACTTAACAGTGCAATCATGTGACTACATATGAGTACATTCTACTTAATCACAAGATTGACTTTTACATTACTCATCAGT